GCAACAAAGAATATTTCCAACAGGTTGCAGACTTTTATCAACAATTGTTTTCGCTCTATACTGAAGATGAGATGGCCGGAAAGAATCACTAACAAGAAACTATGGGAACAGACAAAACAAGAACCAATCGCTCAACAAATATGCAGGAGAAAGTGGAGATGGATTGAACATTCGCTGAGGAGGCCGCTGGGTGACATCGCGCGTCAGGCCATCGCTCGAGTGGAACCCAAAAGGGAAGCGGCGAGTGGGACGTCCACGGCAACGAACCAACCAAGGATTTATTACCTAGCAAATATGCAGGAAGAAATGGAGATGACTGGACACATGTTGTGGAAGCCATTGAGTTGCATCATATGCCAGGTAGGCCTTTCAGTGGAACCCAAATATGGAACGACTAGTTGGGCATGGGTCCGAGGATGACATGGAGCGGATCGTATGAAGAGGAAAGGAAGGCTTTTCGGCTAAAATGCTGAGAAAGACTGTTGAGAACGGAATGAAATACAAATGTGTTGCTGAAGCTGATAGGCTGACTATATTTTGGTGTACTAGATTTCAATGCTGTATGTTAATTCTCACACTTGACTACTGGTGGTAAATAGGGTTTTTCAGATAGTGTGAAATGAAAGTTACTCAATGGTGACGTTAAGATATGATTATGATATATTATGAGAAATAATAGTTCTAAAGATGATTCCCTACTGAGTAAATGTTTCACACTATCCAAACCAAGATCGAAACAATTCCTGAGTACAGCATTGTGTCTGTTGGTATTTAAGATCAAAGAGAAATAATGTACAGCTCACCTGTTATCGTGAGTTCTTCAAGCAACTCCAGAACAAGAGACGCCTTTAAATTTGTAAGTATTCATCGTATCGCTAGACTGTTAAAAATATACCAAAATTAGGACATAATCATCTTATAGGACATAGGAATAACCTAACAAGGTATAGGATACTTTCACTTTCATACAGCGTTATCCTGACTGATCTTTTAAGGCTGTCCATTGCGGATATTTTCACACACACATGTCATAAGTCACCAGAAATGTGCAAAACGTCATTCAATTCGATATCAGCTGATAGTTCAAACAATAATAATAATAATGATAATAATCTTATTGCGTCAATCAACTAACAATCATGCCTTATGTTGATTGACATGGTAAAGTACAAAAGATAGATTTTATGTGTTAAACAATGATTTTGTAGTACGAAAGGAGTATATTTCATGATTATATCATCTGATTTTTATGCCTTGTAATCATGTTGTATTGTACTCTGACAGGTTAACATGAAATGATATTATAATTCAAGGGTTCTATTTTGTTTAAAGTCAATCTATTTTCTCCCAGGTTTATTAAACAGCTTTTCTCCTCCAGGTAATTCGAGTGACATATTATACTATGAGGGTAAGAAGTAGCTTCTAATATCTTTGATGCAAAACAGTTAAAAAATCATAAAGAAAAATTATGCCATTTTTATTTATAAGGTAGTTTAAATGACCTAGAATAGTCGTATTGATTTAAAAACTACTAATTACAAAATTTAACTACATTGATGGTTGATAATGAAAAGTTGTACGCTGTTTTCTTTGAAGATGCTGTAAATTCTGCAGCTTTTGTCACCTGTATCCCTGGGATATTCTAATCAGGATTGCGAAACATCATTTCTTAAAATTGTGTATCACTTTTTTGCCGTCAGTTATCGACGAATATCAGTGATGGATTCAAGTGTTGGTTTGTAGGGATTTGATTGGTTACAGGATTTTCATCATGAGCTGACATTAGTTAGAGAACCACTGGAAAACCTGGGAGTACTGGACAGCCGTTTCGTCCTAGTTTGGGACTCTTCATCAGTATGCACCCAGCAGGCAGAAGTTAGAATTCATGGGCCATTGGATCGGGTCCCAGTGGCTTGATGGTATACGAGCTCGCCTTGTAACCAGGAGGTCCTGGGTTCGAATCCCAGTGAGTGCGTTCGGATGAAGAGCCCCAAACTAGGACGAAATAGCTGTCCAGTACTCCCAGGTTTTTCAGTGGTTCTCTAACTAATGTCAGTGATGGATTCGTTAAACAGATTAAATTAACGTCACTGACTCTAAATTTCTTTGACTTGAATCCAAAGTATTTGTTATGGTGACTTAGTGTTTATCAAAGAATTATAAAAATTCATCTATTTCTCTATTCAACTTTGATCTTATTTTCACTACTTCATTTAGGCAGTCATTTTGCGATAATGAAGATTCATATTCATCTGAAGAGAAACAGGATAATGTTAAATTTTTACGAGTTGATCACGGATTGATATCAGTAAGAGAACCATTGAAAACCAGCACTGGATTACTGGACAGCTGTTTCATCCTAGTTTGGGTCCCAGTGGCTGAATGGTAATGGAGCTTGCCTTGTGACCGCAAGGTCCTCGGTTCGAACCCTGGCGGTGGGTACGTACTGCTGATGATTCTCAAACTAGGATGAAACAGCTGTCCAGTACTCCCTGCCTAGTTTTCAATGGTTCTCTAACTGATATCAATCCGTCGTCAAACTCGTAGAAACAAATCCAATCATTACAATAATAATGTTAAATGTCAAGTGATTTACCACACAAACCTAAGCAAAATCTTTGAAGTGAAAATAGGATTAAGACAAGGCTTCCCACTACCAACGATGATAGTCCTTATTGTGGTGGACTGCATTATGTAGCAGACAGTAGGGAGTGAAAAGACATGAATACATTGGACAGACAAAAACTCTGGAAGACGTAGATTTTACGGATGAGGATCTACAGACTAAAACCAACAAATTGATGGAAAAGACAACAAAGACAGGATTTCAGGTATACATTGAAAAGACTGAGGTGGTTAAAACACTTAAGCAAAAACAACAATCCCTAATCACTATCAATGGGAGAGAGCTAAAGGAAGTTACTTCTTTACCTTACGTAAGCAGCATCATTCCAACTAGGGGCTGCGGCACGGATGACTAGGTCGAAGTGGGCTAAGATTGGAAAAGAAATATAGGCACTTATTACCCTGAAGTTGATATGGGAATTCATTGCACTCAGCACAAAGAACAAGATTCAGATTTCCAGCTACTACATGGTTCAGAGATTTAACGCGTTACGAAAAGCATTTCTAACAGGTTACTGCAAACTTTCTTAAACATCTGTTGTCTTCGCTGGTTTGATATTGAAGATTAAAGGGTCAACTATAAAGAATAAGCACTGAGGGACTCTAGCCAACTGCAAACCAATGAGGAATTCACCGCTCAACAAACGTGCCATGGAAAATTGGGATGGATAAGGCATTTGCCGAGGAGATCATCAGGTGACATTACTTGCCACGCCTTTGAGTGTAACCCAGCTGAGAAGTCAAAGTAAGTTGGGTGTCCAAGGATTACATGGAAGAAATCGTGTGAGGAGGAAATAAAAGCTTATCGATAGCCATGATTCAGCCCTAAAGGACTGATGAGAACAAAGTGAAATTGAGGTGTTCTACTGAGGCCCTATACTACACTCTGAACCTAAGGGAATAAAAAGAATATAAAAATAAGTAGCATAACCAGATCTTTGTATGATAAAGAATAATTTTGGCTCAGGAAGTAGAATTTGCTTTTCACTGAAATAAGTCTTTCAATGGCAATGTTTTCACTAACGTTATTGCACAACGGAGGGAAAATAGTTATAAGGACATCTCTAAAAAAATAAATATATAATCCAGGATAACAATGGTTTTAGAACCTGTGTGCAAGCTAGACTTCGTACACATTTCATCTGGTTTCGAGATGCATGAGTTAATACTTTAATATAAAACACCAAAATTCAGTCTGCAAGACTACTGACATGCCATACAAACCAAAGTACACTGAATTCCTGCGTCACATAAACTAGTGCTCAGCTCTTACACTTTGTTCGTCGGTAGTTCAGCAGCAGAAGGCTCACCAACTATGCACATGGTCCGGGGTCAGGATTCCCAGCCAGCGCACACCTCTCCTAACTGGTTATAAGCCGGACAAAGTGGGAAGATTGGGATTAAGACTAGCAATCCCACCTCGTAAAAGACATCAGTGCTACTGACACTTCAAAGTTCAGGCTTGAAGTCCTATGTTCCACTCGGAAAGCAAAGGAATAAAAAAAGTTTTAAAAATAAATCTTATACTTTGTTGACAAATTTCTTTAAGCCCTTCATACTGGATAGTTAACTTAGTCAGCATCTTAAAGTCTAATAGAACTATCAGCTTTAGGAATCTACTAGACTTATTCAAATGAACATATAAAAAGTATTTAATTGGTGGATGGTGACTAGCAGTGAAGTCCAGGATAACACGCATTTCGTCCTATTTGTGACTCGTTATCTGGATGTACCTGCATTTCTCAGTGAGTGATGATGCTCCCACCGAGGCTCGAACCCAGTGCCTATAGTTTCAAACGCCAAAGCGTTATCCACTAGACCACTTCGGTCCAATCAATCGACGGGAAAATCTAAAATTGAATTAAATAATTAATATGACCCGTTGGACAAGAGGTGGCTCTCGTGGCCCAAGTGGCCTAGTGGATAATGCTTTGGAGTTTGAAACTATGGGCACTGGATTTGAGCCTCGGTGGGAACATCATCACTCACTGAGAAATGCAGGTACATCCAGATGACGAGTCCGAAATAGGACGAAATGCGCATCCTGGATTCCACTGCTAGTCACCATCCACCAATTAAATACTAATTAAATGCCCAGACATCATCGAAGCATCTGCACATTAAGGTGACATGTCAACCTGAGACCGAGCACTTCGGTCCGGTCAATCGACGGGAAAATCTAAAATTCAATTAAATGAACATATAAAAAGCTTTTATTTTAATCAGTTAGAGATAATGAAACCATTAGCTTATCAGAAGGATATTTATAAATACTCCACTTTGTAGGTTTATTGATACATTATCTCTCAATAAAAGTTTATTTAATCTCTTTGTTTTCTCCTTTCTTCTTTTTAATAGATACAATCTTGAAATACATGAATGTTAGGCGAATATCTTTAATATTTATGTCACATTATCAATTCCAATGGAAGTGTATACTATTAGCTTATTATAGCATATTATATAAATGTCTTTTATTCACTTTTACTTGTACAAATCTATTTCATATAACCAATGCATGTCAGAGTATTACAACGATTAAAATTACAGAATATTCTACAGAACAATTTTTACATCCTGCTAACTTTAATACACTTCATCATTCAGCATGGCCAATGAATCCAACTAATTCACAGTTATCTGTAAATTTAAGTGAAATTCTTTTGCAAAATCTACACTTAACTCTAGATGATATAAATTCTCCATTGTATTTCTCAGATGTTGAACAAAGTGAACCTTTTGTTATCCGTCGACGAACAAATGATGATCATCATGCAAAATCTTTCTGGTATGAGCTAACATCAATAATTCCAATTAATCGTGAGACAATATGTGATGTGAAACGTTATCCTGAACGTGTATCAATATCACAGTTATGCTGTTCAGCGACAACTACAACTCGACCGACAACATTATTACTAACAGATAGTGTTATTCGCAGTGGAAATATTCACAGTCTTAATGGTCCATGTTGTGTATTTCTAGGTATTACTGTTGCATCAAGTAATACCTATTTTCTACGTGTTGATATTACAGATGTAAATGATAATTCACCGAAATTTCAAGATTTAATATTTGGTAAATCTTTAATTAGTAAACAGGATAATTATGGAAGATTTTTAATAAGTATCATGGAGAATACACCACCTGGTAGATGGATACCATTACCTAAAGCGATAGATTTAGATGAAGGCGTAAATGCTTTCATTCAATACTCGATAAGATTACCAAATAATGAACATTTATGGAGTGAATATTTTAAACTCATAGATAATGTACAAAATAGTAATATTGAAGCAAATGAAATACCTACAAAGGTTTATTTAAATGGTGATACAAATGAATTCAGTGCTATGGCAACAGATTATAATGGACCTGGATTACTTATCTTAAAGACGTTGGATCGCGAGGTAGTATCTAGTTTTACATTTGTTTTAATTGCAAATGATATGGGACAACCGTATTCACGATCCAGTTCACTGAATATTTGGTTAAGGGTGAGTTGATGCCCTTTTTGTAGAGATTTCTTTAAACTAGCTGTCTGTTAATTGGTGATATGCCTTCTTGAAGTGTTGAAATGCAAAATTTGTATGATTATTTATAGAGAATGCTTGCTGTACAGGTCAGTGTTAATCATTTTAAGGAGAATTTAATTTTACTCAATAGTAATGTGACTCTAGAGGCAAAGGTTTTTCAAAATTTATATCAATTATGTTTGCTTACAGTCACTGAGAAATTTTTAACTTTCTGAAAACTGAAAACGATGTTATTTCTAACTGAAATAATACAGTGGTATGTAAAATGTTACTCTTTCAAAGGATATGTTGACAGGGCAATAATGTCCTAAGTTTCCAAGCGCTGGACTGCAGGAATTCGACTGGTTCCAAGAAATGACTTAAGCTGGAGACCTGATGTGAACTAGGGCGTACTAGGCAAATGTTTCATCCTTATTTGAGACTCCACAGCAGTGCACATCAATTACTTCACTAAAGATCGGATGCCCAGTACTCCCTGGCTTTCAACGGTTTTGTAACTAGAGTTATTCAGTAATCAGTTCCGCAATATGGTTTTAATTTGAAAGATTAAAGAAATCCAAAAACGTTACTGTAAACAAGTGTTTAAAATCTGTATCATAAAAACTTAACACACACAATAATGAAATATCATGTTTCATACTGAGAATAGACCTTGGTTAGCCATACAACTGTATTTCTAAGATAATAATGCTAGTATAGTGCTAGGGAAGGGGAATCATTCTCAGTAAAACAAACCTTTAGAGTTTCAATGAAATTTGTTATATTTGGTCTGCGAATATGTGCAGGAGTGGACCAATAAACGCAGATTGAGAAAAAGCTACACTAACTGCTCTGGGCATTCCAAATCAGTAAAACAAATTACTGCAAAATGGTATGCTATGAAATTGTTTTCCAGAAATCGACCAGATACTTATACTTGTGTCTGATAACATAATATAAATCGAAAGTCATAAGTTACAGATAACCTCAGCCAATTCTCTGAATTTCGTAAATCTGGCGAATAACTTTAAGCAAACACTGCTATTACGCCCAAAGTACTCACAACCAAAGGACTAGACACATTACACTAGCTACTAACTAGTGTTCAGTCAAAGTATCCAATACAGTCCTACAGGAGTTCAGTCGTGAGCCCGAATAGCTTAGTGGTGATGTTTCTGACTGCAGCTTCACTGGGTGACACCGGTCCGAGTTTCAGAAGGAACATGAGTTCCTTCAAGGTGGCAAATACGCCTTGCTGACTGGTGAGGGTCAACTAGCACGAAACCTAGGTCCAAGACTTCCCGCTGATAGCCTCCAACCATCTGGTATCAACAATTCAAAGTGCATCGTGATGGCGAGCCATCTAGCATGGTGTCCACATTGCCACCGTGACTGATAGAATTCAGTCTGCACCACACAAAGGACTAGATACATTACACTAGTTGCTAACTATTGTTCAATCAAAGTAATGACTGACTGAAATGAGCAGCTATAAGCCAACCATATCAAGTAGTAGTGATCTTAACACCAGACCGCCGTTTCTCTCGTTTGAGGCCTGGCTCAATCATGGTGTGTCCGTACCAAATACTACGTATTACTAGTTCGTTCCAGTTGCTAGCCAGAAATCGGGTAGTTTGAAATAATTCGACTCTATGGACTAAGTCAAACCGGGCACATAACTGAGATGTCGGCCACAAATAAGCGAAACCGCCGTCTGGTATTTAGATCACTTCGATCTGGTGAGCAAGCACTACCGGTAAATGTGAGTGTTGTCAGTCTACTGATTTCAGTCGGTCAGTCGTTTATAACGTCAAGCATCTTTGTTTGCTTTCTTGATTGCCACTTATAGTTTCGAGCAGACTACATGTTGTGATCTAAATAGTTTCTGCTTCGAAAGAAAACAGTGGTTAAAATTTCACCTTGAAGTGTGTACACTATAAGTCACTAATCTGATATAAATAAAGTGATATTTGGTGGCTTCAATTTCTTAAAATTATCACTTGAAACATTATACTAGTGATATAAATCGATAGCTTCTAATCTTCACTGCTTGTCTGATGACTAAGACTATTTTGCTTGAGAATGGAAATTTAACTGGCAAAGTTAAGACTATAAACTTTCAAAAAAATAAAGTTAAAATGTTTTAAGTATAATCATCTTATGATTTGTGAACTGGAAATTCTTAATACGCTTTAGAGCGTTTGTTTTGAATTAGTAAACAACCCTGACGAAGTTAAATTGACTCACATGTCATCGATCGGTATGAAACGCTCGAGATATGCAAAATGTTTAGTTGATCATCTGATATAATCCAATATGAGCATAGGTGTTAAAGGGCTGAAACTGATCTTTATTTCCTTCAGAATTAGATGATGTTGTATACTCAGGTTACAAGAAAGGTGAAAACATTCATTTTTTAAGTCTTAGTCAAAAATAGGTCTAGTAATGTCATCGAATTTAGGAATTCTACACGATTCTAGCTAAAACAAAAACAAAATATTAATAATGACAATAAAAACAACTGTACTTCGAAGAATCTACTTTATGTCCACGAATCAACGGAAATATAAGATGTTCACATGTTCAATTACGTGGAACAACCATGCGAAGCTCATCATACGAACTAAGCACTTAAAAAACCAACCAAATTACTAAACTAAGTTTTTCGATAAAGCAAGAAAAAACAGATTTACAGTATTAGATCACTATTATTATTCCGTTCTGCAGCATATCTCCATGTCATCCTGTTGTATGCAGTCCTTTTCGGATAGCTCCACGACTGCCCATAAAATTTCATCTCTTTCTCAGAACACCTCCTCCATGTCCACTTTAGATCCACGTCAAACTAATCTTTTCCCATTCGGGTTCCACTTGATGGCCTGAATTTTGTATAATGTCACTCAACAATCCATCTCTCTTTCGTCTAACATATTTGTTAGACGATAGGTTCTTGTTTGGTTTGTTGCCAGATTTCAGTATTGAACCAGTGTGGGCGGCTGTTGATAAAAGTCTTCAGCTGTCTGTTCGAAGTTCTATTGGTGAGGCGTAGTGGAAATCTCTAAACCATACAGAAGGAATGACTTGATATGATTGTGAGAAATCCGAATCTTATTCCTGATGCTGAGTGTAAAAGATACTCAAAGCGATTTCAGATTAATGTAGGTCTTAACTGCACTATCAGAATGATAAGTTATCACGCATCGATGTGGCGACGAAGTGGCACTTTGTGTGCGTCTGTGGCACAGCGGTTGGGACTCTCACCGACCATACACATGGTCCGGGGTTCGATCCCCTGCCGACGCACACCCGATATCAATGATCGGCCTAAGAAATTTGGGCTACCGATATCACATGCTGAAAATTCCATACCTGTACAAAAAATACGGTGTGGAATTAAGCTATAGCCAAAAACTTAAAAATTAAAAAAAATTCATACCCATTGCACAAGAAGTGATGTCATGGCTTGTTAGCTTCGTGAAGATAGTAATTTGGTGTTTGAAAGTATGACTGTTGGCTTTAATTTTCAGTGAGAATAACAAAAACTCGCAATAAGATGAAACTGGCCTCGTGAATTCCAATGCAGAATAAACCTTTCCACTCAACTGTGTCACATTTGAAAAATTTCTCTTTATCCTACTCGATATGATAATTGATCAGCGCACTCATTGAGATCGCTAAGCCTTTTCTGAGATTAATTATTTTGCTAGGATCAGTCTATGTTTAGATAGATTTTTGTGTTCTCACATTCTGACTTACACTGGCCGTCTACTCTGACCTATATATTTGTCCTTATGTTTATATATATATATATTTCAGGTGGATATTTGGTGGGTTTAAGCTGTTTTTACTGAGCTTGATGTTGGGTGAATCTTTTTCTCTCTATGCTTTGTGTTTTGATATCATGATTAGGAGGAAGAGTTTAATTGCCTAAATGGACATTCTGTCATCGTCAGCATCAGTTAGAAATCTGAAGAATACACTAAAATTCGCCTTTCAGTGGAAGGAAGATCTAATCTTAATTTCGATATATTATTATTATTCCCTTGAGTTCCGAGTGGAACATAGGGTTTCACCAACACATCTACACTTTGTTCTATCTTCTGCCATCTTCTACAGCTTGAACCACGGCTATCCGGAATCCCTTATCTCCTCCTCGCCACACGACCTCCTCCACCACACCCTAGGACGACCCAATCGTCGCTTCCCATAGGGATTCCAATCGAGGGCCTGGCGCGCGATGTCATTCGACTATCTCTTCAATGTATGCCTGATCCATCTCCATTTTCTAATACATATTTGTTAAGCGATCGTTTGTCGGTTGGTTTGTTCCAACATTTTCTTGCTGCTTATTCTTTCTGGCCATTCGATCTTCAGTGTGGAGCGAAAGCAGCTGTTGATAAAAGTCTGCAACCTGTTGGAATTCCTTTTCGTGACACGCCAAGTTTCTGACCCGTATTGAAGGACCGACTTGACACTAGTGTTGAAAATCCAAATCTCGTTCCTAATGCTGCGGAGTGGAGAAGATTTCCAAACTGTATTCAAGTTGACGAAGGCGCATCTTTCCTGTCCGATTCTGCCTGGCTAGCTTTGACATCTCATCCGTTCCAACTGCCTGTGGTTGGAACGATGCTTCCTAGTTAAGTGAAGGAAGTAACTTCTGCCAAATTTCTCCCGTTGACGGCAGTTGGCGCTATTTATTGTTGTTGTTTTTGTTAGTTGAATGGTTATCATCATCACCTCCGTCTTCTTTATGTTCACTTGCAATCTTATTTTCACTGCCTGCCATTTCTACCAGCTTGTTGTTAGTCTTCGAGTTGGTGTGACATTAAACATAGATCACCTGTGAAATCCAGATCTTCTAGAGTCTTCTCACTGGTGGTCCTGCGTATTCTTGACTCTTCGTCCCCAACAGTCTGACGCACAATTCCGTACACCACAATTAAGAATATTATCGGCGATAATAGGCCGCCAGCCTTGTCTTACTTCTGTATTCACTTCGCACACCTCGCCGAGATTTCCGTTGTGGATCACTTGATATGTGGTACTATCGTATAGCCAGCTGTTCAGTGAGGTTGAGAAAGACTTGGACACTGCAATGTGTAGTGTTGAAGTAGATTCCAAATTAATATATGTGTAAAACTTGGGCACTGTGGTAGTAAGTAATTCCATATTAGTTTGTTTATTAGGTATATCACACAGTGTAACAGTATTATTTACTGGATGACGTTTCGAACAAAATTTATTGTTCATAATCATATCAATTGTGATCACACGACTTTGACACTTGAGTTTTATAGCTTTCTTTGTTTTCTCCAATTTGTCGTAGGGGGAGTAGAATTTTCCAGATATCGGGGACAGGTGATGAATCATTCCTATTACATGTATTTGTAGTTGATTCAATAAACAAAGCTTCTGTTATCAATCTCTCCCTATACCCTGTGACATTAGATTTTAAAACTGTCATCCTATCCCATCCTATTGTATGGTTGTGTGTGACTGCATGTAGTGCTATAGCTGAACTATTCTCTAGATTTCTTATTTTATTCGGGTCAACCAATCTAGATTTTGCTAAGTTTTTATGTTCAGCTAGTCTGACTGCCCCTGTTCTACTAGTTTGACCTATGTATTTGACCTGACAATCATTGCAGGGTATTAGATAAACTAAATTGTTTTGTTTTAAAGGCTCTATAGGATCCTTTTGCCGACAAAGCTTGTTTCTAATTGAGTTTGTGGGTCTGAATGCCGGTTTTATTCCTGCCTTGTTGAGAATTCTGCGTAAGGCTTCTGAGGTTCCTTCCTTGTATGTATGATTCCAAATTACTTCTTGATGAACTCTGTCTGTTGAAGGCCTTTTTGAAATCGATGAATTTGAGGTACAGGTGTGACAACCATTCTATGCTTTTTTCTATGATGACGATGAGTGTAGTTGCAGTTTGATCAGCACATGATTTGCCTTTCCTAAATCAAGCTTGTTCCCGGTGTAGTTCTGTATCAAATGCATCCTTTATTCTCTCCAGCATGACGCAACTTAGTATTTTATCTGCCGTGGACAAGAGTATTATTCCACTCCACTTCTTGAAAAGACCTAGATCACCCTTCCTTGATAATTTGATGAGGCAGCCTTTCTGACAGTCAGTAGGCACCTTTCCTTTATTCTAAACTTTTTGCAATAATGGAGTAAGAACATCTGCTGTTATCTCTGGCCGTCTTCAGTGCTTCAGAAGGGATGGCGTATGGTCCTGCTCCCTTCCCAGCTTGATCGCATTCAGGATTTTTTCTTTCGCTGGAGAAGCAGTGTCCACCGTAAGTTCTGTGAGTGCTGTTGGTGGTATTTCTAGGTGAGTTGCAGGTGACGGTCGACTCAAGAGTCCTTTGAGGTGATCAGCCCACTGTTTGATTTGTTTCTTCTTCTTGCTGATCGGGCTCCCATGAACATCTTTTATTGGTTTCATCATCTGGGTTGACGTCTTTCAGGATAGAGACCTGGTTATTTGATAAATTGTCCTCAGGTTTGTTTTACCTGCCGCCTGTCTGCCTGTTCCGCTTCATTTGGCAGTGTGTCGTAGAATTTTCGTTTGTCTTTTCTAGCACTCTTCTTCACTTCTTTATTCAGTGCAGTGTAAATTGAAGTCATCTTCTCCTTCTTTTGTCCATCTTTTTATTGAGTCATCTTCTCTTTCACAATCCTTCTTTCCTCGATTAGCTTCAAGGTAGGTGGGCAGAGCCATACCTTGTCTTGTCTCTTCTTTTTTCCTAGAAAAATTGTACATGTTTCCTGAAATATCGCTTTCAGAGAGTTCTAATGTTCTTCCACACAGGTTTCCTCAGTGATGCCACGTAGTGTGTCTGACTGTGCTCCGCCCTAATCTGTAACGAGGGCATCCCTTGTAGTTTTGTTCTTCAGTTTCTGAATGTTGAGCTTGAATTGTGGCCTGTCAGCAGTTGTTTCGAAGGATTTTAGCTTCACCTTGAAGGTTCTTGGAAGTGGATACTTTTGTAATTCAAAGTATGGATATATTAAAGGCACTGTAGGCAGTTGCGGTAGCCGCAATAATCATATTTACAAAAATGTAATGGAATAACGTTTCTAGACATTTGGTGAATATACAAAATCTGATGCCCACCAGTGCCTGACTACAGGAAGATGATGCCTGAAGTTCAAGCTAGAAGTTGTGACCAGTGGGATCCATCAGATTGTGTGTGAAGACAAATATTCAGCAATGACACTAGCGCTGGTAATCACATTAAACATCTCTAATTGATAGGAGTTTGAGTACATGGGCCATTGAATTCAATACCAGTGGCTGAATAATTAACAAAATTGCTTGGTAACCTGAAAGTTTCACGTAAGGCCATTTATGGAGACAGGGGCGCGTACCGCCTAAAATTCTCAGATTAAGATAAAACAGCTCGCCAGTTTACTCAGGTTTTCAATGATTTTCCAACTGATATCACTCCGTGAAACTTGAAACTAATCAAATCAATACAAACTAACACTTGTAAATTATGCTACAGGAAAAACGTGTCATTTAATTTGCATTGCTATTTTATGAACACTTAACCAGCCACATAAAAGATTGAAGATATGTATGCATGTATGAATTGATTATCTCTTTTTGATAGTTTGTTCTACACGTGTACAACTAAAATATCAAAAAAAAATGTCGCTGTTACTACAGTTTTCAACTTACAGATTCTATCTGATATTCATTCACATACAGTCAGTGATTGTTTAAACATCAATTTATGCATGATATACTGAAGTCATTTGATATCCTGTAGTAAAAATTGATAGATATATTACTGGTTTTAAAAGCAGTCTCCATTATTGATTCCATATTACTTCCTACGTTAACTGCTCTTTATGATATTTCTTAATTCGGTAAATCTCTGTTTTAATGTGAACAACTCCATTGTCTATATCTATACGTGTGTGTATGTTATTGTTTTAACGATGACATATTATAATAGGAGTGAAAATAAACTGTCAACAGCTACCTCACATAAGCTAATCATAAATGTGCCTACAATCAAATAGAGATTGTTTTACTCAACAGTCTTATTGTCATTATTAACCAACACATCCACTTTGTCATTTTCTAAAGAAAAAAAATACACCCAACTCTGTTTCACCCTTGTCCGCTTGTAGATAATTATCTAGGCGCCGCTCATTTTTAACATTTCAGTGGACACGTCGGAAGTGTTCACATATATATGTTTGTAAAATTAGAATGTTTCTGAAAATCTCTCTAACGTTTTTACAACAAAAGAAAATTTTAAACAGGTTTTGTAAAATTTCACAGGAGTTTTAGTAAAATAAAAAAAAATACGGAGATCCGGTTTTAAGGAATATACATCATGTTATCTTTCATATTAGAACGAGTTACTACTCTATAGAAGAATTTGCATTTTTTCTAGTTCGTGTTATGAAGACGCTCTGAATTCCAACAGTGCCTAAATATCTTCTTCCCTAACTATATGCTTGCTAGATTTCATAGCTTGTTTAGTTGATGTTTATTCTTAGTGAAATCCACTTTGACGTTCACGTTACCAGGGCAGCCCTCTGATCTCTCAGTTGCTGGGTTAGTGCTATTTGTTACTTCCGGCAATTCGTAATGTAAGGCTACCACTCACTGATGTCATCAATGAGCATTCCTTCCACCCTGACGTAGTGGACCTCACCAGCGAAGACTTCTTATCAGAACTTCAAGATACTGACTCTGTATCTGTAGAATGATCTTGAGATTTTAGGTTTTGTGGGAATTTTCACTGATTTCAATTGGTTACGTTCGTAATTTGAAGGTCTTAGATTGAGTCCTTGAAATGGTAGTGGATGAGTGCCTTTAGAGAGTCCCAAACAAGGGGCGAAACATCCGTAGAGCTTGATTATCGTTGATTCTCTGTTTGCTCCTGGCCAAATTTAAATTAATAGAAATTAGTAAAAAAAAAAAGCAAAATTATGAATATTTAGAGTGCTATTTATTTTATTTATTGAACCAATCAGTGTTAATTTACTGTTTGTGGAATCGTAGATCCCTCGACAACCAGACCTCACGTAGTCCGGGTCCGATCCCACCCGATGTGTGCACCTTGAAGACAGGAAGGACTGAGGCGTGAATCTAGTGACCCTATGTTGTATAAAACAATACCACCACTACTGAAACTTCAAAACTTATTGTTGTAAACCATGCGTTCCTCTTAAACCGCGAAGAAAGTAAGTAGTACTGAAATTTTAGCAGCAAAAAGTAGAACGATGATGAAACCCTGACAAAATCTTTCTTTTTCTGTTTCTACCATAATTAAGTTAATCAGAAGAAATGACGAGTATACCGAAAAATATGCATTCATTATTTCAAAATCAGTAACTGCATTAGAAAGTATGATTTCTTGTAAATTTTACTGTATCACTAAAAAGTTGTTTTGTCTTTACTGCTAATAAAATCTTGTTTTACAAGTCAGTCTTTGTCTTACCCTAAAATAGTTGAAAATCAATTTGCCTTTGTTATATCTTACATTGTAAATGTTCGGTTTTCTTCAAAACAATTCACATTGTGGTAGGTTGTCACACTGCTTGTATTCGCCCACAATAGAAACACTTAAGTTTGTGATAAACAATCGCAGTAATCAGGTGAATTAAAACTATTAGAAACGTGAAGGTATTGTGGAATTTAGTCAGAAATTCATAGCTTGAAAAACCTATTCTATTTCATCGAAATATACACACACAAAAATGCATATACATGTAAGGTTGTTACTAAAATTTTTTTACGAGTTTACATCAGTTAGAGCGTCATTGGAGTGCTGGGTGGTTCTTTCGTCCTAGTTTGAGACTATTCACAGGACACATCCACCGGGGTTCGAAAGCAGGACCTTCATGTTATAGGGGAAGCTTGTTGACCATACAGCCTCTGGGACTCGATCCAGTGGCCTATGGACTCCAACTTCTACCTGTGATATTGGCTGGCGGACGTGATGTATATTGGTAGAAGTTAGAATTTATTGGTCAGTGGATTGAGTAACATTGGCTAAATGGTCAACGAACTCACTTTATAACCAGAAGGTCATAGGTTCGAACATCAGTGGATGCGTACTGCTGAAGAGTCCCAAACTAGTAGGGAACATCTGTCCAGCACTTCCAAGTTTTTCAGTGGTTCTCTAACTGATTTTATCTCGTGATCAATCCTGTGATCAACATTTAAGGTTTTCTGAGATAACGCAAATCATATAGTTTTAGATTGTGTGCGGTCATCTCATAAAATAAGTACAGTTATGCAGCAGTCCGTTAATTTTTTGAGCATTTTTTATCCACAAGTACTTTAAAGTTAAACATTCTCTGTAGTTTGTTTTCGTTAAAATTCTTTAACAAAACTTAAAGTGTCTTTTCAGTATGTCATTTTCTGTTAATCTGTATAGTTTAACGGACTTCTTTGTTTGAATATTTTTGATACATTTAGTAATCAACTGTCCATGTCAAGGTAGATTCCAGATTGAATTTTATTACTGATATTCAGAGTTCTTAGAACATGTATTTGTGAAGTAGAACCCTTAAATATAATTGTCATTCTCTTTGTAAGCGTTCTTTCGTATTCGTATAGATTTATCAGAAAAACAATCTCCTGTCATCCATTAAATTAATACGATTTCTCGGTGTGATTAGTTTGTATTTTGCGTAAAGTCATTCTGTACTCCAAATGTACATCGAATGGAACACATAATTTTTTGTGACTGTACGCTACCACTTTCTCTTACAACAATTACATTACGACGGGATAACTTTAGTTTTCAATGTCTTTATAAACTGTTAAATCATGGCAAGAACATTACATATAGAAAGCTTTCTTCAGAAACCTACTATCCTTACGAGTGAAACCCGAACTGGAAGCGGCGAGTTGGTCGTCAGTGCAAGGGTGAAGAGGAAATCAAAGCATGTGGTCAGACGTGGGGCCAGGTGAAAATGTTCGCGGAGAACCGAACGCAGTATAGACGTGTGGCTGAAGCCCTGTGTTCCTGCAGGAACTAAAGGAAACAATAATAATCGGCTTTGTAGTTCATTTTTCAATAAGGTTATTCCATCTTGAAAGCACTTTAACTAAGGACAGATGTTTTGATTGATTGGACGTATGATTTGGGGAAAACAGTAGCTGGAGTTAAAGCTATAGTTATGATTAACACAATGAGATCCAAGTCACTGACTGGTTACGAGAGGTGGAGGGGAAAAAAGTCACCGTTTACGGAGAGTGAATGTTTCTTCACTCGGTCCTTACGTCTTTTAAATGTCAATAAAATCTAAATGATGAGAAAACAGTCCAACAGCATTCTCAGTATTGGTCTAGGTTTGCATTTCTTTACTGACTATGATGTAGTTTTCTCATCGTCAATCCAATATCGTCTGAACAGGATACTGAATACTTTGTAACTAAGTGATTCCAGTAACATCTTACATCAAAATATTCTTAAGACTGGAATCTGTAATCTGCTGTATCAGTTTATTACACAACTTGGATAAATTATGTCATTTTATAGTATCATTAAATACAATGAATCGAAGTAACTGTTCCAAACAAACTGCCTAACTAATCTTAGTTATGTGAACTTGTCACATGTTCATTTTATTTTAAGTAGATCATGTAAGATCACTCGCGTCAGTGGCATAGCGATATAATGCTCACCGACCACGCATGTAGTTTGGAGTTCGATCCTCGGCCACCAACGCACTCCTTTACCTCGCTAAGCCGGTGGTAATAAGAATAGTAAAGAGAGAAGGTTGGGCATGAGTCTAGCAACCCCATCCCGTAAAGGTGAATAAACACCACTGCTACAGAAAATTCAAGTCTCCAGCTTGAAGCCCTATGCTCCACTTGGAATGTAAAGGAATAAAAAAATTGTAAAATAAAATGTTTCAGATTAGGACAACACACTGAAGGTAGTATTGAAGATTCTATCTAGGAAAGCAATGGAAACTTCAAAGCTGAACCATCCAGCTTGAAGAACAAAGAAACATAAGATAAAATCCTTGATTTAACGAATTGTGAACAATAATATTCAGTGGTGATATAAAACAGCAGACGACAGTAGTAATAATTATCATGTGAAAATAAAGGATGAAGTTAATTTTCAAGAAATGCTTCGCATGGATGCGATTGATTTCAAGTTTGATTAAAGATTTACGCCAGTTAGAGTACTGGACAGATGTTTCTTTCTTCTCTGGGACTTTTCAGAAGTACATACACATAACTGCACCAAGCATTGAACTTCAAATCAGTCTAATATCTCAAAAACCAACTGAATGTAAGGTTAAAATGGCCGATGCTCTAGTTGGAAGCTGTGAACACCTGGTTCGACAAAATTGGATGTGGGGACAGAAACTTACCCATGACATTGGCAAGCGCGAATTGACAGTCATTGTATTCCGTCCCAATGGCTTAATAACCAAGGAGCTCTTCTTTAATCTGACGGTTCTAGTTTCCATTTTTAGTGGGGTCACAGGTGCGCACTGCTGAAGAACCACAAACTGGGACGAAACAGCTCTCCGGTACGGGCTGATCCTCAGTACTTCTCTAAATGAAGTCAGTTCATGATCACACTTGCAATAATAATATTAATAGTTTAAATGTGTGATTTTTACTGCTAAATCCCAGGAACACGTATACCTGATATGAATCTAAACACAAACTTAATTTGATAACAACACAGATATGGGATATACCTTTAATAATCAGAATCATTTGCTAGTCTCACCATCCAAATTAGGTTTTAATATCACTACTGTAAGTTGATCTGTATACTATAAACTCATTTAAAAGATAGTTATAAGATAAGCAATTGAGTAAGGTAATTTGAAACTGCACTGACATCAAAAAAGATGTATTAAATCAACATGAAATAATGCCTGAAGAAAGAAGTAAAAAGTAAAGCTAAAATTTATACACAAGTAAGCCAAGACGCGAGAAAAATAGCGAAGTAAATTGAATCTATAGACTAAATTTCTTTGCAGAGAATAGAAGTAATCGCTCTTACACTTACAAAAGGAAGTATCAATACTTAGAAGTGAAGAAAAAGTAGAACAAGAAGAAGAGGAATAATTCAATTTTTCACAGTTTAGTATGCTCGATGATTGATTTAATAATCTGTATTGTTTCCTTGTTTGTAAATTTCTCCCCTGAGGGTAAGATGCATCGATTTTTATATGTAATCATATCTTTTACTTTTAACAATGATTATCCTACGGTATGTTATGCTATTCGATGTCTATTTGATGAAGGTTCCGCATATAAGTGCAGAATCATATGCATATATATATATATACATATTTATCACCCTTAGGCATAATTTCCATGGAAAAACTAAGTGTCTCCTTTACCAAATATACATGAAGTTTTTGATTGGACACTAGTAATTAGTGTGTCGTGTCTAGTCCTTTCTTTGGTGCAGATTGAATTCTATCAGTCAGATTTGCAATGTGGACACCATTCCGGGTAGCTCGCCATCATAGTGCACATTGATTTGATGATATTAGATAGTTGGAGGCAATTGGCCACAGGAAGCCTTGAGCCTAGGTTTCATGCTAGTTGGTACTCACCAGTCAGCAAGGCGTATCTGCAACCTTGAAGGAACTCATGTCCCTTCCTCCAACTATCTAATATCATCAAATCAATGTGCACTGTGATGGTGAGCTACCTAGAATTGTGTCCACATTGCAAATACCTGACTGATAGAATTCAGTCTACACCAAAGAAAAGACTAGACACGTC